AATAGAAAAATGAGCACAGGATATGAACAGACACTTCACCGAAGAAGACATTCAGATGGCCAACAAGCACATGAAGAAATGTTCAAAGTCCCTAGCTCTAAGAGAGATGCAAATCAAAACAACTATGAGATATCATCTCACCCCAGTAAGAATAGCAAAATTTAACAGAACAGCCAGCAACAAATGCTGGCGAGGTTGTGGAAAAACTGGAACCCTTATTCACTGTTGGTGGGAGTGTAAAATGGTGCAACCACTATGGAAGGCTGTATGGCGCTTTCTCAAAAAGTTGCAAACAGAGATACCATTTGACCTAGCAATTACTACTAGGAATATACTCCAAAGAAACCATAACCGCCACCCAAGAATATATATGCACACCCATGTTTATTGCGGCTTTGTTCACAACAGCAAAAATGTCCATCAATAAATAAATCGATAGAGAAGCTGTGGAATATTCACACAATGGAATACTATGGAGCATTGAAAAACAAGGAACTCATGCAATATTATTAAAAATGGGTGACCCTGGAGGACATTATGCTGAATGAAATATCTCAGTCACAAAAGGACAAATACTGCATAGTGCTACTTTTATAAAACAAGACTGACACTGGTGTTGGGGGGAGACTGCGGAAGATAGGATAAATTATGTATACTGCATTCAAACAGATGAGGGAGAAAATCATTTAAAAGGGATATGTGATTAAGTATTATTGTCATGACAGGAGTCCAGAACAAAGGCTGCACAGTGGAGTGGATTTGAGGGGAGGGACTGTATAACAATGGAAGAATTTTTCTTTTACTTTTCAAAGAGAAGAGCGAATTGGGGTGGGCAGGGAGAAAAGTGAAACAATGAATGAATGGAAATCCAAAGTCTCTGTAAATTTTCATTAAAATTAATTTAAAAAATTACATAACAATTTAAAGTTACTTATCTAGTTTATTTTTCTGGTTAAAATGGGGGAGGGAAAAAAAAAAAACCTTTTTATTAAAGCTAGCCCAGAAATGAATTAAAAAACCAACTTGCTGTACAGGGGAAATGGTTTAAATTTGAAGATAAATTTATCAATTCTATGTGACCAGTTTAGTTAATGATAGCCAGTGTTTCCACTGAAAAGCTAGGTAAGTTTCAAAAAGTATACATTTAAAAGTCATAAAAGCAAGGAAGACCAAAATGAGAATAAAATTTATGAAATTTCAATTGAACTGAAGAACATTCATCAATCCCAGACTTGGCTCAGTCTGTAACTAAAGACAGACACCATAAACCATCCACCTCTTGCCAATTCTATTACAAGAAAGACTGAACATTCTCCAGAAACTCTAGAATACTCTACATTTTTTAATATATTATTTCTGATTTTCAAAGATTTGTAGGCATTCAAAGAGACAGTGCAGTATCATCATACCAACAGAAAATTGAAACTAAAGGAGCAAATGCTCATGTGATCTAGACACTGGAATTGCTGTTATTAGTGCCATCAAGTCAACAACAACTCACAGAGACTTGAACTAACAGATCTGAACTTGGCCCTATTCCTGCACATCCTTACCATCTCTGATATACTTGAGCCCACTGATGCTGTAACTGTGTCAATCCATCTTCCTTAGGGTCTTCCTCTCTTTTGCTGACTCTTCTCCTTTCCAAAAATTAAGTCCTTTTCCAAAGACTGCTCTTAACAACATGTCACCATCCTTACCTTCAAGGAACAGTTCCTCCAAAACATACTTGCTTGTTCTCTTGGCAGTCCAGGGGATATTCTGTACCATTCTCCAACACTACAACTCAAAGACACTGACTCTTCTTCAATCACCGTCCAACTTTCAGATGCACAGAAAGTAAGTGAAAAGAGCATGGCTTCAATCTGGTGCACTTTAGTTTTCAGTACCACTACTCCTTAGAACTTCGGAGAGGTCCTTGACAGAGGACTTTCCAATGCAACACATCTTCTGATCTCTTGATTACTGGTATTGGGTGTTGACTGTGGATACATTGGCAACTTCAGTTATTCTCCATCTATCATGAAGTTATCTAACTGCCCACTGGTGAGGATTTCTGTCTTTAGGATGTTGAGATGTAATCCATTTTGAACGTTGTAATAGTCCTTGATCTTTTTGCAGCAAAAGATCCTCTTTTTAAGTCCGCTTTCCTTGCAGCAAGCAAGGTTGTGACATTTGCATAATTTAGACTACTGATGATGCTGATGCCACTTTGCTCTTTTTAAGCCCAGCTTCTCAAATAATTTGCTAAGCATACAGACTTAATAACTATGAAGAAAGGAGATAGCCCTGATGCTCACCTTTCTTGGTTTTAAACCATGTGGTGTTTCCTGCTTTGTTTGTACAATCACTTCTTAGGGTAAGTTTCACATGAGCACAGTGTGTTCTGGGATTCCCACTCTTCTAAATGTTAGCCATAATTTGTTATGATCCACATCGTCAAATGCCCCTGCATAGTCAATTAAACTCAGATAGACATCTTTCCAGTATTCTCTGCTCTCAGCCTAGAGCCACCTGACAGCAGCAATGATATCCCTGGTGCCACAGTTTCTTCTAAATCCAGCTTGAACTTCTGATAGTTCAGCCGTTTTTGGATAATCTTCAGTAAGATGTTACTTAAATATGATATTAATAACACTGTTTGATAATTTTATATTCCATTGGATCACCTGTCTTGGGAATAGGAACAAACACACATCTCTTCCTATCAGTGGACAAGGTAACTGTTGTCCAGATTTCCTGGCATAGACTGGTGGGCTCATCTAGGGCTTAATCTGTTAGATAAAACATGTCAACTGGTATCCCCTCGATTTTGGGGATCTAACTTTTTACTAATGTCCTCAGCAGAGCTTGAACTTTTTCTTTCAGTATTATTGATTCTTGATAACATGCTATAATCTGAAATGGTTCCATGTCAGTCAGTTCTTTTTGGTACAGTGACTATGTATATTCCCTCCATCTTCTTTTGATGATTCCTAGATCATTCAAGATTTTGTCGATAGCATCTTTCAGTATTCTAACTCAAGGCTTAAATATATTTTTCAGTGCCTCCAGCTTAAGAATTGCTGAGTGAGTTCGTCCCTTTTATATTTTCTAACTCCGGCTCTTTGTACAATTCATCATAATACTTTGCATTGTCTTCTCGAGTTGCTTTGTGAAAACTTCTAGAATTAGTATGGAATAATTCTGATTTATATATTCAAGAAAACAGTACTAAGTATAATCAAACAGATGAAATATTGCTTATTATTATTGCAAATGGAATCGATTTTAAAAATTTAGGAACTCACTGTATAGACTTAATAACAGAATAGACAGAGCAGAAGACAGAATAATTAATGAAAAGATGAATAAAAAATATCCAAACCAAAGAACAGAGAAACAAAAGGAAGAATAAAGAATTCATAATGTGAGAAACATGCACAATATGCCTAGAGAATATGGTATCTTACAACTGAAAGTAGAGTCCAAGAAAGGGGCAAGAAAGAATAGGACAGAAACAAATTTTAAAGAGATAACACAGGAGTTTTCCAAAATGTATGAGACACATCAGCCCATAGAATCAAGCCGCTCAGTGAACTCACAAAAATATAAAGAGAAAAAGCAAAGTAAACGTACCTAGCAAAATGCAAAAGAAAAAAAATAAAATCTGAACTGCAGCCTGTGTGGTGGGGAGGGCACCTGACTCTTACAGAAAATATAAGACGGACAGCTGATTCTTAATAGAAAAACAGCAGCAAGAAACCAGTGCCATCTTCAAAGTGTCGAAACAAAAAAAAAGGTAACCTAGACATCTACATTAAGTAAAAATCTTCTTAAAAAATAAAGCTAAATTAATGATACTTTCAGACAAACAAAACTGAAAGGTATTTGATGCAAGCTGCCTTACATAAGAAGTAAAGAAAGAAAATGATCCCTAGATAAAAAAACAAAAATGTATGCTGGAAGGTCAGCTATGAGTTAGACCTGATTTGGCAATGAGTGAATTAATGACAAGAGAGGTTAAACTCGGCAAAACAAAAAAATCTGGAGACTATCACCAGATTCCCTTGCCCAGGTTCTATTACTCTGAATGACTGTAAATCACTGTGATTACTATTAGAGGTCAATTATAGCTAATTCAATAAAACACTTTATCATCTTAGTTATACTATTATAAAGACTGATTATTAATACTATGGTTGAAAGTGGGTTTCCCCTCCATTTTATAAGAAAAACAACAGCAGTGGAAAACTGAGCTGAGCTACTTATGGTACAAAATCAGTTAAGTGAGGTAACTGGCACAAGAACATATGTTCCTCTGAATGTACTTTTTTCCTATTAAGTCCCTACATTGTTTTCTGCTTTTTAATTCCGAGAAACATAGTGTCTTACTTGTCAGGTAGCAATTCTGCAAGGAAGTTTTCTACAGACACAGCAGTTTGCTTTTCATGAATCACTCCAGCTCGACGTAAGCTGTCTATCCGTTCCTGGGCTCCCTGAACAACAAAAATAATGGTTTCAAGTTAGTTAATATAATGTATCATAATGTATTTATGATTATATATTTTATTATACAAACATATACCCCTGTGTATGGGTATATATGTATCCTATCTAACCATATAAAAAAATGGAGCTCTGGTGTCTTAGTGGTAAAAAGTTGAGCTACCAACCCAAAATCACACAGTTCAAATCCACAAGCTGCTCCACTGGAGAAAAATGGGCAATCTCTTCCCTTGTGATTTATTGCCTTTGAAAATCCACCAGAAAGTCAGCTATGAATTGGTTCCAACTTGACAGTATGTATCCATAGGACTTCAGGACCATATTAAGAGGGGACATCAAGGTTAACTAGTATATCTTAGACCACAAATACAATGCTCTATATCTAATATCAGTGGGTAGTGACTAGGATCTTAAAAGCTTGTGAGAACTCATCTAAAGTGCAACATTGGTCTCTTTCTCTGTCACAAACAAAGGAAAGGAAAGGAAAGCAAGATTCATAGAAATTATCAGTTCAAAGGACTAATGGGACATGTGAACCTCAATCTGCACAACGATGAGACTGGGACGAGGTTAGTACATACTACAGAGGTATGTACCCAGTCATCACTGCTAACTACACCAAAAAGGAGATCACAGAGTAAGATTCTGCGTCGAGTATAGGGAAATGTGAAACACTTCCCCAAAATTAAAAATGCCAAGCTAACTAAACTAACAGAGGCTAACAAAGCCCCTGAGACTACAGCCCATAATAACTTCCCAAACTTGAAACAAAACTCATCTCCACGGCTCAACTTGCAACCAATTAAGGTATATAAGATGAACCACAACACCACAACACTATGGAAGTACTCACTTCTTAAATAATCTACCATGTAAGATCAAAAGGGCAGCATGTGTCCATGACGCCCAGCAGTCAGGAATAGGAAAAAGGTTAATGGAATCAAGAACCACAGGAGGCAGTGGGAAGAGTGAGCTTACACTATGAATACTGTAATTAAGTTTATACAACAGAATGTGTATGAATGGTTGGACAGAAAATTAGCTTTGTAAACTTTCACTCGGATCACAAAAAGTTAGTCATTACAGCACAGCTTTCCTCTGAGACACATGGGGTGGCGATAAGTCAGAACCTACCTGACGCTGGTGCCAAACAATGTGCTGACGTTAGAAAAATGAATGCCACCATTCTGCCCTCAAATACTCTTGTCTACTGCAAGGAAAGGTTGAGAGTTCACAACTACCCGGAATGTCTAAGAAGACAAGCTTGGTGATCTGCTTCTGAAAATAATGAGTCTTGAAAATCGGTGTGTAAAATTTGTGTATAGTTCTGCTCTGCACTAAGAGGTGGTCCCGAGTCTGAAGAGACACAAGAGCAGATAACAATAACCATAGGCAGTAAAATAATTGAGTGAAACGCAGCAAAAGTTAATGAGAAAGAAGTGTTAAGTCCTAATAAAGAGCACTCATTCCAAAGGAAAGTTTATAAAAAGCCACAAATAACTTCTCTATGGGAAGTTAAATTGAAAATGAAAACCAAAAGCTAGTTTGGGAAGAATCTGTAGGGTAGCAGTAGTCAGACAAAAATATGATAGAATTAGAAGCAACTAGTAATGAACAAAGTAGGATCAAGAGTAAGACGAAGTCAAGGTGCTAAAAAGAGAGACTACTGAGGAATGTGGGCAAGATCCAGTTTATGAAGCAACTTTTCTGCAAGGAAGCTTTTATATTTTTTCATCTTCTTGTTAGATACAGTGAGTCGGTATGATTCATAGTGACTTATGAGCAATCACTGTGAATCCTGTCCCGTCTTGTGCCATCCTCACTATCTGTGACACACTCAAGTCCACTACTGCAGACACTGTCAATCCATCTGGTTGAGAGTCTTCCTCTCATTCACTGACCCTTTATCTTTCCAAGCATGATGTCCTTTCCCCAAGGAATCATTTCTAGTAAAATGCCCAATGTATGCAAGATGAAGCTTCCTCATCTTTGCCTCCAAGGAACATTCTAGTTTTACCTTCTCCAAAATATATCTGCTTATTCTTTTGGCAGTCCATGTCTGTCACCATTATTCACTGTCCAGCTCTCAGATGCATAGCAAATGATATTAAAGACCATGGCCTGAATCTGGCAGGCTTTAGTCCTCAAATTTACATCACTGCTTCTCAATAATTTGGAGAGGATCCTGACTACAGACTTTCCCAATGCAATATGTCTTTTGATCTCCTGACTGCTAGTACCAAGTGTATTGTCTGTGGATCCAAGTAAGACGAAGTTGTCAATAATCTCAATCCTTTCTCTTGTCTATCATAACGTTGCCTACCAGTCCAGTGGTAAGGCTTTTTGATTTCCTGATGATGAGATATAATCTATATTCAAGGCTGACGTGTTTAACCTTCTACAGCCAAGTTAACCATATTGTATTTTATATTAGGGATCTGCAAATATAATATCCACAATAGTGTACTGCTTCCTGTAGTTTTAAATTGGAATTTAACATTTTTCTCTTTAAATGTAAACAATGACATATTGCAGCTCTCCAAACTACATATGATATTGAGCTCTAGTGGGTAGTCCTTAGGGAATTGTGTTGCTAACCCAAAGGCAAGGCCTCTCTGGCATTCCAAATTCATCAATGACTCTGAGGTAAAAAGATGGTCAAGCTCCTCCCATGTGATTTACAGCTTAGGATGCTCACTGGACTAAAAGCTATATGAGCTGACTGTGACTCAGCGTCACTAAGTTATGAGTTTCAAGCAAATGGTAGACAGCTGGAACTGTAAGCAGGAAAAAAAATCTCTACTTTTCTTAAAAGACTTAACTGATAGCATATTAAATCAAAATGCAAAATAGAAGCCATAGTGAAAATATCTTCCACATTAGGATTGTTACTGGAGTAAATAAATTATTAAAAAAAGATTAATCCTAATATTTTTAATTTCTTGTTCTAGGTTCTATACCAGGGCATCTTGATGATTCTACTACAAATTCATTTAAAAAAAACCCCAACCACCTTTTGACATACCTATTAGTCACTGAAAGATTAGTAAAATAAATCACCATTTTGACAAGTATGTTTTAAAAGGATACTTCAAAATAAAGGCACTGTGGTAGCTTCGTGATAAGGAGGTGTGCTGCCAACCCAAAGATAAGCAGTTCAAATCCACCAGCTACTCCACAGTACAAAGATAAACAATCTCCTCCTGCGGGATTTACTACTTCTGAAAACCTGCTGGAGAATCAGCTGAGTGGTTTTGACTTGATGTCATGTAACAAACAACAAACACCCCAAAACAAATATGTACCTCATGTATTCAAGCAATTTATTTCAGCAATGTATAATAAAACAGGCACTGAATTTCACCTTACTCTTTTAGAGGTACCTGATCCAAGCCAGGGTATTTTCAATTGCTTCCTATGCATCTGAAAGCTGGACAACGAATACAGAAGACAGAAGTACAATCAATGCCTCCAAGTTATGTTCAATTTGTCTTGAAGGAAGCACAAACACATTGCTTCTTAAACGCAGTAAGGTATACTTTGTCTCATTTACTTTTGCACTTATCTTTAAGAAGACTTATTTCTTGGAGTAAGATACCATGCTGGGAAAGGGAGATGGTTAGCAAAAGAGAGGAAAGCCCTCAATGAGAGAGGCACTGTTCACAGGATCACTATGAGTCACTTGAAGGTACTTTAACAACAATAACACTATATAACTCTATTGCTCAAAGAAAATGAGAAACAAAGACTGGAGCAATATCTAACAGTAAAAAAGCAAAACAGAGTATAGATGGCAAACTAAGCATGAAAACAGTATAAGTATATATTAGGAAAATTAACAGCACAGACTAGCTACCTTAAAAACTCCTTATGATTACTAGGGGAGATAATTCAAAAAGAAAAAAAAAGATACATTTTTACAAAAAAGATATATACACACACACACACACACACACACACACACACACACACACACTCAGAAACCTGTAACCATCTAATAAAGACCTATTGAATATTTCTAGTGGCAAGAATTATTCTGAGTTGACAATTAGTGAACAAAACAAAATCTGCTCTTAAAAAATTCAAAAGGGCGAAGCAGCATAAAAAAAATGAAACACAATATATAAATACAGTGTTATACATTAAAGGTTCTCAGTAAAATGTGATAAGTGTTAAGGAGGCATGGACTACAGTATTACACAGGTGAGTTGACAAGAGTAAAAAGGGAAGCCACAGACTGGGAAAAGGTATTTGGTAATGACATGTCAGATAAGAGCCTTAAATCTAGAATTTATAAAATACTTGAGCACCACAACAAGATAAATGGGCACAGAAGATGAGCAGACACTTCACCATAGAAGACATTCAGATGGCCAACAAGCACATGAAAAAATGTTCAAAATCCCTAGCTCTAAGAGAGATGCAAATCAAAACAACTATGAGATATCACCTCACCCCAGTAAGAATAGCAAAACTTAACAGAACAGCCAGCAACAAACGCTGGCGAGGTTGTGGGAGAAACTGGAACCCTTATTCACTGTCAGTGGAAGTGTAAAATGGTGCAACCACTGTGGAAAGCGGTATGGCGCTTTCTCAAAAAGTTGCACCCAGAGATACCATTTGACCCAGCAATTCTACTACTGGGAATATACCCCAAAGAGAGCATAACTGCCACCCAAGCAGATATATGCACACCCAGGCTTATCACAGCTTTATTCACGATAGCAAGGAGTTGGAAACAACTCATCAACAATCAACAGCCCATCAACAAATGAATGGATAGAGAAGCTGTGGTATATTCACACAGTGGAATACGATGCTGCACTGAAAAAAGGAACTCATGCAATATTATTCAAAATGGGTGATCCTGGAGGACATTAATCTGAGTGAAATATCTCAGTCACAAAAGGACAAACACTGCATAGTGCCATAGTTGTAAAACAGGACTGACAACAGGTTTGGGGGGAGACTGACAAAGATAGGAAAAATT